CATGGAGAAAGCTCGGTTGACCGGGATGGGGGGAAGGGAGGAAGGATGAATGTGGGATCAGGGAAGAATATATTTCAACTAAGGGAGTCATATTAGAGTTTACAGGAAACTTGATTATATATGGGATCCCAGGTCCAAGGAGAGATCCCCAGATTGTTCTCTGGACAGAGGAGGGGGTGCCTGAACCGGCCTTGGCCCGTGACCATACTGATGAATATTTTGCTTATCACCATAGATCCCTCATCTGGCGTTGGATGACGATACAGATGGAGGCCCGCGTTGGAGCACCGAACTGAGCCCCCCAAGATCCAAACGAGGAGCAAAAGGAGGAAGAAAATGACGAAGGACTGCGAGGGATACTATCACCCACTGATACAAGGGGTCGGATCTAATGAGAGTTTACCAAGGCCAGATGGACCGTGACTGAACGAGCATGTGATCCAACCAGATTCTCTGAATGTGGCCGGATTTTCTGAATGTGGCTGGCCTGCAGTTTTTCCGAGAAGCCATTGACAATGACACTGGGACTGGTTTCCTCTGCATATACTGGATTTTTGGGATCCAGTCTGTTTGGATGCTCACCTTCCTGGACCTGGAGTGAGGGGGGAGGAACTTGGACTTCCCACAGGGCAGGAGACCCTGACTTCCCTAGGGGACAAAGAGGGAGGAGGAGAGGGAGGGGGGGAGTGGGAGGGCGTTGGGAGGAGGGGCGTAAATGGAAACTTTTTATAATTTAATAAAATTACAAAAAAAAATAATGAGAAAAGAAAAAAAAATGTAATGTGTATTTCAGAAATACAGATTAATAGATAGTCATCTCTCATAATCTAAATGTAGTCATGTTCATTAGGTTTTCTAGAAGTACAGAGATATATTCCAGTTAACTAGATAAACTTCAATACTTAAATGACCTATAGATTATGGCATTTAAAAGGTTTTAGGAGCTTAGAATTTTCTTAACACTGTGACATGTCTACTTCTGGCAGCACCATTTGCTTTAGAGAAGTTTATAGGCATTGAGAAACTCATCATGGAATTTGCCTTCAATGTGACAATGCTAGTATTTGGGTATGAAACTTCTCTTGCCTGGGCTGCTTTATATTATGCTGTGTTAACTGACCATGAGGGACCAACAGAAAAGTCACTTCCAAACTTACCAATAGATGGAGTGGTACATCAGGATTCCTGCTTCTAAGAAGAAACTACCAGACATTCTGCAGGATACAGAAAAAAGCAACTGATGAATTTTACAAGGCAGAAAAGATCTTCAAATTTCCAGCTGCATGAAAATTCTGCTGGCAGCACCAAGCAACTTCAAGAGTAAGGTGGGAATCAAAGAGGCTCCTTATGGAGTTTGTTAGTCATCTGGGCAAAAATCTAGTCTTTTCTTGGCTACCTGATGGCATGCTATGTGAATTGAACACATAGGACCCATAGAGAAATGACTGCTGAACTTGCCTAAAGCTGAGAAAATCCTTCAGCATTCTTGTTTCATAAAAGATTCTTCAAGACATTCTACAGAATACAGAAAATGTTACTGAAAAACTGTCATTATAAGCAGAACTGTCTTTGAAATTTCTGCTTCTTGGAAATATCTGCTGGATGCTATGGGCCTGTAGGCTAAAGATGGATGCCCCAATGGTACAGAAAGCTTTTGGTGCCTGTCCATACAGCGAGATGTCTCTGTCAATTCCAGATTTTAGAAGTTGCTAACAATGCACTCCTGTTTAATTAGGTAATATTTTTCCCTCTGGAGTCTTTGATGAAGTTAAAGAATAGATAGTTATAACTACTGTTTTCCTTAGTTATGGTAAAAGATAAAGAAGATATAAATGTTGTAACTGTAATTATTTAAACAGAAAATTGAAGTGATGTGGCATTCCCCTCTGTATGCTGTGAATACTATTGGTTAATAAAGGAGAGCTTTGAGCCTAGAGTAGAGCATGGCAGAAAGAGCTAGGTGGGTAAAACTAAAGTAAATGAAATGAGGGCAGAGTCAAAGAGAAGTTATGTAGCCCCACCAGACACAGATACTGGAACTTATCCCAATAAGTCATACCCTCGTGACAATAAACAAATTAATAGAAACAGGTAAAATTAAGATGTAAGAGTTAGCCAAAAAGAAGGTAGAGCTAATGGGACAAGCAGTGATTGAAATAATATGGTTTCTGTGTGGCTATCTCAAAGCCAAACAGCTGGAACAACCAACAACAGGTGTGAACAAGATGTGTGGCATGCTCTGGTAATCCTTTCTAGTGCCTGAGTATGTGTTTTTCCAGTTCAAATAAGGAATGATCACACTTCTTTAGGAATCCTATGTCACTAAATGTGCTTGGTCTATATTTTTTCACATACACCAAATTTTCCCACTTATGTGGAACAAGTTCTAAATTGGTAATTGCTTAAAACTGTTAAAATGCTGGTGTCATTCTCGTCATGTACTTTATTTTAACCAGTGATAAAATGAAGGTATGATGTGATGTGGAAGGAGAAAAAAGAGAATTTATAACGGAAGGAATTGTGTTCTTGATCAGGAAAATCACTGAGCTGGGTTTGGCATATAAACTATACTAGTTTTAAGTTACAACATCTTCTGTTAGAATCTCAGGAATATGATATGTGTACATCTGAAAGGTAATTTAACTAAATAAAATCTGCTATAAAAATAGTGTGATGTTATTTTAGTTTCTTATAATATCAAGATGGGAGAGAGAGAGAAAGAGAAAGAATTACATAGATATTTGGGTTCCTCTTTTTGAACTCCATTCAAACATGATTATGTTAATGCAAACAACCATTGTCTACATTTCTAATAATCTACAAATTCCATGATTTTCATGATTTTTACAACTTTCCTCTTGCCAACATTTTCCCCATTTTTTCACTACCAGAATATCTCATTGTACTCATTGCCAGATATAGAAATTTATTTTCCACAAAAACCTAGTGGCCTGATTGCACAAACTCTCACCTGTATTATTCCTCATCCCACAAGAGAAAACTTGTCTATTGTTCAAGGTTGAGGGGAGTAATGAAGGCACAGCTAGTCTGCATCCCTTTCTAAGATCATCTTATTGTTTTTCTGTTTCATTTACTGACTACACAATAAAGTGTCCCTCATAGATACAGGCAATATTGTGAACAGTTTGAGCTACTTTTCTTACCTTGGAGTCTATTTGATAATAAAAGAATTAAAAATCTAAAAAAGGAATAAAATGACAAGTCCACATACCTAATGACAATAAACTAGAATGAATATGAGATAATAAACACAATGAATCCCTCTAGCATGTAGAAAATATGACACCTGTGTATGGAAGCAAAAAATATACAGATCCTTTGTGGACAGCACTTCTGCATGTTGAATATTAACCTTTGCCAGGAATATTAACCTTTACCAGGAATATTAACCTTTGCCATATTCTCACATTGTCCTGGAAGGTTTCATTAAGCCAATTTGTGGAGAAAGTAAATACTACACATTTCTTGTTCTTAGATGTCTGGTCCTCAAGGCAAACAAGATATTTGAATGTTTTGTAAAAAGGACATAACATTGTGTAAAGTCACGCACTCAATAATTTAATAAATAAAGTAAAGTCAAATAATCAGCAAATTCTAAATTAAAAAAAAAGATAGACTTCAATGTAATTACATGAGTAATCAACAATTCCAAATGAAAACAGGAAGTAAGTGGTTTTACAATACCATAAATTCAGGGAACATGTCTCATCCAGTGTCAACTTCCTGGGATGCAGAGAGAAAGTATGGCTTTACCACTTGAACCGGAACCTTACTGAAGAGCACAGTCAGATGCTGTATGAGAAATAAACACCATAAGTTAAAGGACAATATATGGATAAACAGATCTGAGTACACTTAAAGACATGTAATTGTGATAATTAGTAAAAACATTAATTTTTTGAAATATAGCAATACATTGACTTTAGAAGCAAATAATTTTTAAAACCATTTAGAGGCTAAAAGTATCCCACACACAGTATAGATATATTACTTTGTGGTCTACTCATTTATACTTTGTAAGGACCTGGCACAAGATAGTCAAGATTGACACAATATTCAGATAGAAGAGTACAGAAAGAGAATGTCAATTTTTGCTCATATTTCAAAACTTATGAGAAATTAGTTATCATGAAGTCATTTGGATATGGTATTTAGTTAAATGAAGAATAGTGAAATGAAATCAGGTGTAAAAAATGAACATTTAAATACATTTGTGTATGTGTAAGGGATCTACAGTTGTATGGAGACATGTTCAACATTGGAACTCATATTCCATCCAGTTACAGTTTATATTTATTAAGACAGAGTCTGTCATGGACCCTAGAGCTCATCAATTCTGGTATTATAATGGGAATGTGTGTGTGTGTGTGTGTGTGTGTGTGTGTGTGTGTGTGTAAAATATCACTGAATTTCAAAATCTTTTGATATTTGCAGATGACACAGTCGTTTTCAAAACCATTGGGACAAGTGGATACAATATGAAAATTGAGTTCCTCACTCAATAGCACATAAAGTACATTGAAATATCCCATATAACAACATGCTTCTAGATAAAAAATAAGCAAAGAAATCAATTCATTATAAATTAATTATTGTCACATTAGTAAAATAATTTGTATTATGGAGGTAGAAATATTTGAAAAAACATTATAAAAAACAAAATTATGTATTTTTAAAACAAATTATTTAATCTAATAGGCATGGTGACAAAAATACAAGATTTTGCTGGAACAATAATTGCCAAAGAGTTAAGGTGATGGGAGAAGAACCAGAATAAGAAAAACCAGTGTGCCTACAAGTCCCATGTGTACATCACCACCTATCTTTAAAAAGTCCTCACTCTGTTAGTTCAATTTCCCAGTTAGATGTCTCTTATACATCATAAATAATAATAAAATGATGCCAAATAAAACAGCAACTACCATTAAATAATAGACAAAAATGAAGTAAAAAATCAAAATCCAAAATAGGTCCTGACATACCTTAATAAAAAATATACATCAATCAAGAGACTCAAGTATTTTTAAACATTATATTGGATAAGTTAATTGATCAGAAAGTATAAAATATTCCACCACTCTAGATTTAAAAGATAAATAAGAGAAGTCCATATATAATATTATGACTTGTAATTTCTGCAATGTGGTTCTAGGTCCAAATGAGGAGCAGAAGGAGGGAGAACATGAAAAAGGAGGTCAGGACCGCGAGGAGTGCGTTCACCCACTGATACATGGGGACTGATCTAATGAGAGCTCACCAAGGCCAGCTGAACTGGGACTGAATGAGCATGTGATCAAACCGGATTCTCTGAATGTGGCTGACATGGGGGCTGACTGAGAAGCCATCGACAATGGCACTGGGTCTTGTTTCATCTGCAAGTACTGGCTTTTTGGGATCCTAGTCTGTTTGGATGCTCACCTTCCTAGACCTGGAGGGAGCGGGGAGGACCTTGAACTTCCCACAGGGCAGGAAACCCTGACTGCTCTCAGGACTGGAGAGGGAGGAGGAGAGGGAGTGGGGGGAATGGGAGGGTATTGGGAGGAGGGGGGGAAGTGGAAATTTTTATAAATAAATAAAGAAAGAAAGAAAGAAATTAAAACAAAATTAAAAAACAAATAAGTAGAAACACTAATGGTGGTAAAAATGACAAGGAATCAATATTTTACTATCTCAAAATTATCTAATATTTATACATTATGTACATACAAAACAGGAAATTTCACACATTTTGGAAGATAACCTGACCAGCAGGGGCCATGACTAAATAAAGAGAACATCAGAGTCAGTCAGGAGAAAATTCCATTCAAATTGTTAGTAAGGGTGCCTAGGAGAGTACTAAGATAATTGTCTGTTAGTGGTGACCTTGTTGCTTCCAAGAAGTGGAAGTCAAGTCTCTGTTGCTTAAACACTGTGTTTTTGTTATGGAACTATAAAAATTTGAACAGGAACTACATAAAAGATTTGAGACTGGAAATTAGCTATCAGAGACCAGGAAGTTATGAGGAAAGCAGTCACGGAAAAAAAAATGGATTCAATTCTATGATTTAGTTATGATAGCTTTGAAAGACAACAACCAGCATACCTAGTTTTCACTTAAAGTGCACTACTGGTTCATATCTTATCAATAATTAATATCAACCTAATTGAACTCAAGTCTTCTTTAGAAAGAGTTCAAGCATGTCTAATACTGCAACTCACAAACGTAACAGGGTTAGTGAGCGCATGTAATTAAGAAGTCCTAACCATCACTTCCAAAGATATTATAACATCTACCAATATTGTTATTTTGCAATTATATCAACATAATACTGTAGAGCTTGGAGCAACAAATGGATTCAACAGGTTATACTTAAACACTGTGTGTGTGTGTGTGTATAAATATGTGTGTGTATATATAATAAAAATAAAAATAATTAATTAGGAGGTAATAAATTTGACAGTGGCTTAAGGAATACTCAATAAGAATTTGAGAGATACTGATGTGGAAACTATACAAATAAACAAGATTTCTATTAAGTTCTTAAATTTTTAATATAAAAGGGAAATATATTGTCCAGTGAGTTAAGAAATACTATTTCAGCAGAGAAGGAGAACAAGACAAGAGAATTGGAATGACAATGACCAACAGCTGTATAAATGCATGAAAACTTTATATTTATTAAGAAAGATAAATCCAATAAGGTACTTAAGAAATCAGGTGATATATTGAACTTGAATATTATGAATTTAAAGGGACTTAATACCTCGAATCCAAAAGGTTCAATACTTCCCCAAAAGTAAGAACAAAAAAGATACAAGTGGATGCTACTTCACAGAACATTTAGTGGACATTGTCTTCAGGTAAATGACTGGAAAAAATGAACAGAAATTGTTTGTTTAGCAAGAAACATAAACTATGTCTAACTAAAATGAATAGGATGTAATATTTGCAAAAATAGTAAGATATATACAAAATACATGGATTTACAATATACCAGCAAACATATTACTACATGAAAAAAATAAATATTGAATGGAATGTTGCATGCAAGATATGTAATTGTAAAGGAAAGGGAAAAATAAAACAAGATTTGCATTACCACCAGCGAGGTGTGGTGAGTGAGTCTTCAGTGAAACCTTCTCAGGAATTGGGGAGAAGCACTTCTTCCATGCTTGAGACTGAGATTATCATGAGCAAGCACGTGAGACCCTACATCAGGATCATAAAATAAGCCAGAAATTGTTTAAGTATAAATAATGAGAAACTGTAAACTTACAGAGAAAATCATTTCCATAGGATCAGTAATACCTATATAAGGGTTTAGAAAGTTCAAAATTTCTAGACAAGTAGTTTCAATAGTACTATGACTGCAATATTCACAGACAATATAGTTATTACATACAGTGGGCATAGAGACCTCCATATATTCCATTCTTTTCTTACAAAGTTCAAAATTTTTCTAAAATTTGCCTAGAACCACAAGAAATCCAGTATTGATGAAACTGCCCTGACAATAAGCACAAGATAAGAGTAATTCATTCATAATGCCTGTTTTCAGGTATGCTGAAATATGACACAACACACACATGTTAACACAGGTATGCTGAAATATGACACAACACACACACACACACAATGTTTCTGATATAAATTAATGGCTTAAAATGTCATTTACTACTCATCATTTAGCTCATCTTATAAATTGCCAAAAGATATACTAGGTAAAAAGCTACTCGAATGTTTCGTCATAGTTGGATAACATAGTAAAATTTCTGTATTTATTTATTTAGGAGTTTGTGTGTGTGTGTGTGTGTGTGTGTGTGTGTATAAGAACAAACAATAAAAAAGAGGTCATGAATCTCATAGTGAACAATAAAGGCTATAAGGGAGGATTTGGAAAGAAAAGGAAAGGAGACTATGATGTATATATTATAGTTTCAAAAAAATTTAAAATATACGTAAACAATAAAGCAGACCATATACCAAAATATAGGCCTAATTTTAAAAATACACAAATAGCATCTGTCTTAAAATTATTCTCGAAATCATTACTAAAAGCAACACTTTCTAAGGTATGCAGCCATAGATTTTATTGGAAGAGAGAGAAATGTCCTCTATGCCTCTCTCTGTGATAGAACTAATACAATGTATTTCCACAGTTACGTCCCCTAGCAAGGAATGCTGGAGAAATAAATATTTCCCAAGCTAAAAATGAGAGGAGGCCTGGCATCAAACAGCTAACAGAAGAATATAGCTATGAAATTTGAGGTACACTGGTGCCATCTAGAGTTTCACATGAACTTTAGGTAAGTCAACAGCAATGCTCAAAAGACAAATCTTTTCTTTCATGTGAAGTAAAGCAAATAATAATGGAGAAAATGTACCTCATCCAGAAAAACTGAAAAAAAGTTTCATTGTAACAAAAGAATCACAAACACAAATGGTTATGACTACTTAATGGTCAGTACTGAAAATATAAAAAAAATAACAGTAGACAGACCAAACATGGTATTTTTAATTATTAAGAAATATGTATATACATTGATACTGTTATGTATATGAAACATCAAAGAATGTTTTAAAAAGGCATGAATTTAAATGAAAGCAAAATGGATGTATAGGAGTTTTTACATGACGAATGCATAGATTAAGTTATGTAGTGCAATTATAATTTCAAAAGTTAAACAATTTAAAAAATATAAAACTAAATGCACCTTAACATACTTTTCTGCTCTTTATCTTTCCCTAGTGAGACATGAAGCAAGGTCCATGCATCAAGAAAGAGCACCCATAAAATTAAAAGACAATTGTATTTAAATTCTACTTTGTGAATAACTGTGCTTACTAGGGTTACAGATGGAATTCAGGCACCTGTATCAAGGGAAACTCAACCTAGCAACGTCAACTACTTGGGGCAGCTACAGGGCAAGATCTTTTCTACCATGACAGCCAACATCTCCACTAAACATACCCAACTACCACAACAATCATTTGCTATGTTTATGAAGAGGCAGTTTTAAAAAGCCTTTTAAAACATTTGAGTTCATGATATTCTCTGGCAATGAACCTGAATGAAACACCTCTAGTCCAGGAAACATCCTCTCCAAAGCGAATGCTTTAATTCACAGAATATGGATTCACAATAGAGAAAATGCACTAAGTTCCTTTATATAAACAAATACCATGGCAACAGAATGAATACATACAAGGTCCATCTAGTCACTTATTTAAGTCACCTCAGGTTGAGAAAGAGGCAAAGAAATAGTAAGACTGCCCTATTCTTGGCATAATTTTAGATCTGAATGAAGTGAGCATTCCAGTAAACTGGTCACACATGTGGATAACTATCAGTACTATTTTCTAATGTTAATTATATTGTCAAAATACATGATTTCATTATCAACTACTGATATTTGCATAACAATAACGGTTATTAATAAAATATAACATAATAAATTCTTTACTGGCTTTTCTTCATATTTTCTTTTGTATGGGAGAAATTGCCAGACAAGTTTTGCTGTGTAGCCTTAGTTGTTCTAGAACTCATTCTGTACACCAGGCTGGCCTAGAAATCATATATTTGCCGACATTTGCCTCTCGAGTGCTGGAATTAAAGGTGTGAGACATCACTGTCCAGCCATAACAAATTTATAGCCTTTTAAATTTTATATAAATATATACTTTATCAGTTATTATAATATCATGATTAAATGATGAAAAATTCAGTAAACCATATAATACAAACCCCTCTATGTGAAGTTTTCATCACCATGGCTTTCATCTCCCCACAGTGAGTGCTGTACTGACCTCATGGTTTCATGATACATCATTTCTTTAGAACTTCCACATGACCCACAGCCAGTAACTTTCTATTCCACAATAGTCACATTGCACATTGTTATAATAATGGAGTCTCTGAAAGGACACGCTGGAATATTTTTAAGCAAATCCATGTATAATTTCATAAGAATCAAATTAAGAGTGCCTTCTCCCAAATAGATCATTCCCATATAAAAAATACACAAAAACAAGGGGAATAAACCCTTTTTAGTATGATCTGATTTATTTAAAAGCCCGTGCATTGGCATTGTAGTAGAATCTGTTGCCTCTCCAATACCTGACTGCAGTTGAAATCCTGGGCTGTACACATCATCTTTTTCCTGGCATCCCATTTCACAGAAGAAAGGAATAATATATTACTATGGAAGCATGATTGCTCACATCAATGATAAGTGTAAATAGAGATTGCTTGTTCGTTCCTGGCTGCCCATACCTGAAATAATTACACAAAATCATATTAATGGCAATGTTGCTTGGACAATGATTCTACTGTATTTTTAGATGTAGCTCTTACATCTTAATATAACCCACCCATTTCTATTATTTTATATTTTACCACAAGGCTTGTAGCTTATCAAATGTCCATTTGTCTTCTTTGAGGGCTACATAACATCTCTCTGACTTCCCCTACTCTCTCAATATATCAGAATTAGTGGCTGGCTATATTATAGCCTGATATAGACCCAAAACAGCCTCTTTAACAACAAATGGTAATAAAACATATTCACAGCATACAGAGGTAAATACCACATCATCTACCCCTTTTTGTCTAAATAAAAAGGAAGGGTTTAAATTTAACATAGTAAAATTAAATATAACCAAACAGGTATGGTATCAAGCAAGGATAACACTTACAATATTTATATCTACTTTTTTAGTATAACTAAGGAAAACTATAATTATAACTATTTATTCTTCAACACAATCGAAGACTCCAGAAGGATATAATATTACCTAAGTAAACAGAAAGTGCATTGTCAGCAACTTCCATAACTCTTGAATTGACAGAGACTTCTTGTTACCTAAACAGTCACTCAAGGTTCTTCTGTAACACTGAGGCATCTAATGTGGAATTCCCCTCTCTATGTTGTGAATACCATTGCTGGATAAGGAAACTGCCTTGGCCTGTTGATAGGGCAGAACCTAGGTAGGTGGGGAAAATTAACTAGATGCTGGGAGAAAGAAGAAGGAGATAGGCAGAAGCCATGTAGCCCCTGCCAGAGACAGACACAGGACAGAACATTACCTGGTAAGTCACAGCCATGTTGTGATTCACATATTAATGGAGATGGGTCAGATTAGGATATGAGTTGGCCAGAATTATGTTAGAGTTACTGGACAAGCAGTGTTTTAAATAGTATAGTTTCTGTGTGATTGTGTCAGACCTGAGCAGCCAGGAGCCAACATGCTAACCTTATAACAACAAATTGGTGCCCAACATGGCCAACGAAAATCCACTTAAAACCTGATAAAGTTTAAAAAGCATTTCTAGAAACATAAAAAAAAGTTACACATGGCTTCTTGGTAGCCAACACTTTGCTGGTGGCGTGATGCAGTTCCTGTAAGACAGGTTTTCCCAATTCAACAGTAGCAGATAAAAAGTTGTAAGACAGGTTTTCCCAATTCAACAGTAGCAGATAAAAAGTTGTAATGATTTAAAAACGCTTTCCCAAACCGTGCCGCCAGCACAAATACTGGCTCTTTAAGAACACCAAGCATTTAAAGGTGTTTGTAAATAGCGTGTTACAAACTGCTTAATGACACGCTGAATACTTGTAACTGTGGTGGTGTGTGCAGCTCAGAAGCGGTGAACATACCTTCTCTACCATGTTTGACTGTGCGGGGCAAGCAGGAAGTGCCACATTTCCCCTAGCAATGTCACCACTCAAGTTCACACAAAGTGGTTAGTATTTTAAGAAGCACTCATTGACAGTAAAGAATAACAGATACACAATAGGACATATTCAGACATAAAAGACCTCTAGATGGGCAACAGTGTTGGATTAATGTATCTAGGCTTGGGAGAGAGATGAAAGAGAATATAGACAGTTATAAAAAATGTAAGCAGTTTCTTAAAAACGTAAAGTCTTTAAAGAGACAGAGTACAGACAGTCATTGATTAAAAGCAGCAAAAAAATAATAAAACATGCTAAGAGTTGAAATTTCACAGAAAGTCTGAATTATGTATATTTTTGTGTTTACTTTGAATTGATTGACTGTGAAGGAGCTAAGTACAGAGAGACATTTCATTGTATGGGCTTCTAAGCTAAACCACCATACAGTTTCAAAATATGAATGTAAGGATACATTCCTTTGGAAAAGAGGTTCTACATTTGTTTCCACAGAAGACGAGAACCTGTGAAATCCTTCCACACTAATGTGGTTTGATGGAGCAAGACACCGTAAAAGGTTGCCTTGAACACCCCTCCAAAAATTACTTCACCCAATAAAAAGCAGGAAGCAATTTGGAGAGGACTATGCACATATTTCCAAATATTGTTTGTAAATATTCCTTTGAATTTAAAAGGGGATAACTATTAAAATTTGTTGTGGTATACATCTTGATCTATTGATGCAAATTTAAGGTCAGTATTTTTATATGTATATATCTCCTTTTGATTAAGGAATTTTGATTGTGTAGTTCATTTAAAAATATAATATATGATTAAAAAATACAGGTTAGTAGATCATCATCTATAATAGTTAAGCTTATAGAATGTTAGATAGTTTTTTCTAGATGAACAGAGATGTATTTCAGATGGATACACACAGAATATAGCATTTAAAATTGTTAAGAACTTAGGAATTTTCATGACATGAGACACATCTGCACAAAAAAGGTGTGGAACATATACACATTAGAGTTCTACTCAGCGGTAAAAAACAATGACATCTTGAATTTTGCATGCAAATGGATGGAAATAGAAAACGCTTTACTGAGTGAGGTAATCCAGACCCAAAAAGAGGAATATGGTATGTACTCACTCATAAGTGGATTCTAGCCATAGTTAAAGGTCTGTGAGTCTATAATTTGTGATCCTAGAGAAGCTAAATAAGAAGGTGAACCTGAAGAAAATCATATCGTTATCCTCCAGGATATTAGAACTAGGCAAGATTGCCAGGCAAACTCGGGTGCATGGGGGGTAGGGGGGTGGAAGTAGGGGAAGATGGTTAGGGAGAGGGGAGAGGGGGAAGATTGGGGATGGCTTGGGGGAATGGGAGGGGGGAGGGAGGAAGGATGGTTCTGGGAGCAGGGAAGTTTATATCTCAACTAAGGGAGCCATTTTAGGGTTTGCAAGAGACTTGATTCTGGAGGGGTTCCCAGGCCCAAGGAGAGGTCCCCAGATTGTACTCTGGGCAGCAGAGGAGAGGGTGCCTGAACTGGCCTTGGCCCATAACCATACTGACGAATATTTTGCATGTCACCACAGAACCTTCACATGGCGATGGATGGAGATAGAAACAGAGACACATATTGGAACACTGAACTTAACTCCCTAGGTCCAAATAAGAAGCAGAGGGAGGGAGATCGTGAGCAAGGAAAGCAAAATCAGAGGGGGCCTTCATCCTACCATGGATGGAAATAGAGATGGAGACCCACATTGGAGCACTGGAAGTTAGGACCACGAAGGGTGCGTTCACCCACTGATACAAGGGGACTGATCTAATGAGAGCTCACCAAGGTCAGCTGGACTGGGACTGAACGAGCATTTGCTCAAACCGGATTCTCTGAATGTGGCTGACATGGGGGCTGACTGAGCCCCCGAGGTCCAAATGAAGACTGAGAAGCCATTGACAATGGCACTGGGTCTTATTTCGTCTGCATGGACTGGCTTTTTGGGATCCTGGCCTGTTTGGATGCTCACCTTCCTGGACACGGAGGGAGGGGGGAGGAACTTGGATTCCCCACAGGACAGGAAATTCTGACTGCTCTTGGGAATGGTGAGGGAGGAAGAGAGGGAGTGGGGGGAGCGGGAGGGTATTGGGAGGAGGGGAGGAAGTGGAAAGAGTGTTTTCGGATACTTGAATAAACAAAACAAAACAAAACAAAAAGAGGAAGATGGCATGGAAGAGGCTTCTCATGAAGTTGGTTAGCCATCTGGGCAAGAAACTGCCCTTGGCTGGACTGCTTGATGAACTGGACATGCAGGATCCACAGAGAAATGACTGCTGGACTTGCCTAAAGGGGAGATGGTCCTTTAGTGCTCCTGCTACATAAAATAGTCTGTCAGATGCTCTGACAGACACAGAAGAAAGTGACTGACAAACTAACAATACCGGTGGAACTATCTTTGAAATATCCTGCTTCACGGAAAAGTCTGATGGATACTATGGGTTGAGTTGCTTCTACTATGTGTCACTTGACAATTATTCTGACCCTGAGTACTTGCCCTCTTAATATATTTCATAAGAAAGGAAACACAAGACAATAAAATTTACACAGGACCATAATGCTCAATATTTCAGTCTCAACCCCTTTGGGGGACAAACACTCTTTTACTAGGGTCACTGAAGATCACTGGGAAACACAGATATTGACATTATAATCACTGTAGTATCCAAATACAGTTATGCAGTGACAACACAAATAGTTTAATGACTGGGGGTCACCAAAACATCAGAAACTATTTTAAAGTGTTGCTGCATTAGGAAGATGGAGAACAACTGACACGGGGTTTACAATAGCTACAGGATGATTTGTAAGAAATATAATTGAAAATGATTTGTGATTTCAAAGAACAACTCAAAGTAATTTTACCACATTAATTTACATGACTTACCTCACTGAAGTGACAGTTAAAAACAGGTGTTGAGTGTTGCATGATAGATGTGAAGTGAAGACTACAAATCTAAACACTCACCCCTGAAATAAAGATATAAGCAATATTAAAAAAACAAAATACCTTATATTTAATATATATACAGTAATATATATATATATGAAAAAATAAAACTGGAAACCATAATTCATAGAAATAGTGCACTACAAGGTTAAATAAAAAGCCCAATAAAGCACTATGAGACAATATATATATGTGTATATATATATATATATATATATATGCAATATCAACTAGTGAAAAATAGATCAGGTATTTGAGAGTGTTAATTTACAATTAAAAGGATATGGATTAAAAAAGGAAGGGAGAAATATAATAAAATCTTAATCTCAAATTAAAGAGAGAGAATATTGTGTTAAAATGTTCTTTCTTTGGGAGTGTGAACCAGTGTCTTACACCATTCAGTCTCAAATAATACAGGGAGCAGGGTTAGAAGTAAACAGACTGATTTGCTGCACCGTGGTAACAATAGGCCCCTGACAGCAGAACCTGACTTGGAAAGTAGAATCACGACAGTAGTAGAAAGGTGATGAGGTAGAATGTCATTGTTCTAGTCCTCTGCTCCCTGAGAGATGTCCATTGTATACCAAGAAAGAGGGTGTCAGCACAAGCCCCCATCTCTACATCAGGAACTATGCCTAATTGATAATCAAAGCACATGAAATAGTTAGATTTCTCCATTGAAGTATCCCTGCACATACAAACCCCTTAAAAGGGCAGGGCCCTCAAGTAGATAATCCCACAAAAAAAATACTCAATGGCATTTTTAGAGGTTATTTGTCTCACAGTGTTTTTGGGGGGCTTTTTATTTAACCTTGTAGTGCACTATGTCTAGGTATTATGGTTTCCAGCTTTATGTTTTAATAAGATTCCTGTGATTATAATCATAAACTTGTTTTTAATACATCTATGTGATTATTGTAACTTTTCTTTTGCTATTTATCTTCTGATTATTTATGTCTTTCATCCTAACCCAGTTTCTGTATTAAAATTTATTATATTGTTGTTGTTTGAGTATTAATCATAGTACTAGTAGTTATAATGAATGACAGAGAAAGACAGTGTAGACTTGGGTAGGTGGATGAATAAGCATGGAGTACCAAGCAGGATTTGAGTGAGGGGAAACAGAAATAGTAAAACAGTACATGAAATACAATCATCAATTTAAAAAAAAAAAACGTACATGACAAAAAGGAATATCAGCAAATGCTTTAGCTCTAAATTTCATATTCTCAGGGTACTAAGATGAGAGCTGTACATAATTAACAATTTTACATATAGTATGTCCAGGAATACTGTGTGAGAAGCAAGAGGCCCCTGTCTCCATGGGATATTGAAATGGAATCACCCAGTATCAGTTGAAACCAGCATCCAATAATAGGTAAAAATGATGTATTTTAAAGGAAAAGCAGCTTGAGGGCTAAATACAGATGTGGAAATAATTTTACAACAGATGAAATACTATAAAATCACTCAGAAAAGAAATGTGGGAAAGCCCAACATGCCACCCCACAGCACCTACACAGCATTTCCACTGGCTGTGTCTCCTTTCAGGTCTCAGAAACAGCTCTCCTTCACTTCTAGGTAGGTTGTACTGAGGACCTGGCTAGAACCTAAAACCAGCTGAGAGCTGAAGTGCAGCCAGGAGTCTGACTGACAAAAACCCTGTGTGAAGTTTGCCTGTGACTGACTGAGTGTTTACAACAGAATGGATTTGAAACATTCAATGGAGAAAGAGGGAGCACTCAATCCTAAGTACAGAAATCAAAAGCCTGTTGTAACTTGGGAGCTTTCCACTAAAGGTGGTTATTTCACCTTTCTCTCATCATCTTATCTGTTGCAGCAGAAACAGGGAAACTGAAAGGAAAAAGTCAGGATAAAATGTCATTTTACCTGGACTCTGACTATCATTGAGAACAGACAAAACCAGATAGTTGCACGTGCGGGCTGAGCATATGAGGCTGCTTGGACCTAGAAACTGGCTATTGACTAGTAATCGTTCATTTTGCTCTGGTCATTCTGATTGGTGCTGACCCTCTGCACTGTGTCAGTTACCCCAACTGTTTTGATTATATTCATGAACCATCTCCCTGGATGAGAACTTTATGAATATTAGTGTGCCATACCTATATCTGTTTGCACTAAAAAAATGAATAATCCCAAATACCCAGTGTGAATGGAGTGTTCTAAACAGTCATGATGCAAAAATTTGAGAAGTGTTTTAGAAAAAGAAACTATCAAATTTTTTATGTATTTTAAACTCTCTCTCTCTCTCTCTCTCTCTCTCTCTCTCTCTCTCTCTCTCTCTTCCTCTCAAGCAAGTATGCTCTGTGTGTGTATGTATTTGTGTGTGTATGAATGGATAGTAGTTTTCATGTGGAGAAGGCACACATGTGTTTATATAGGTGACATCCAGAGAATAAAATCTACTAAGGTTTCTCTAGTGCATTTATTTCTTTAAAATAACTTATTCAATTCAAAGATGAAAACATTGTGTGTTTGTAAAAATCAATACTCCATAACATGATCTAAAATCCACCCATCCCTACAATCACTATCTATACTAACTTTGACTACTCTCTTCTTTTTGTGTATGTACATTGCATACATACATTGCAAAATACATTACATATGTATTTTGCTGTGTGTGTCTGTGCATGTGTGTGTATAAACATACAGTTTGGTGTGAGATGTGAACCCATGTGTGCACGTAGGTAACATACAGAATACAAACACTACTATGGTTTCTATGGTGACTTCATTTCTTTAAAATATTTTACTCATTTAAATACATAAATATTATATATTTGAAAAAGCCACATTCCATACTTCAAGTGAAAAATTCTCTCCTATTCCTAATCAAATTATTCTGTGCTAATTTTGAGAACCTTGTCTTATCTTTTCGTGTGTGACTGTGTGTTAGGAGCATCCATGTTTTTGTGTACAAATGTGTGTGCATATGTGTTTGTAAATGTGGGTGTTTGCATTTTTTGTATATAATAGGTTATTCTGTTTCTTTTTACTTTTGAGACTATAATTTAATTACAACATTTCTCCCTTCCCATTACTCTTTCAAACTCTCCCATATACCTCTATACATTCTCCTTCATATTTGTGAACTCATTTTGCTATAATTATTCCTGGGTGCATATATGTATACAAATACATATTTATTCTTAAATATAACCTGATAACTCTTTTAACAATAACTGCATATATGTTTTCAAAGCAGGTCTCTTGGTACTAGATAACAAAATTTTGTGCTCTTCCCTGAGAATGACAAATACTTTTACCAGATTTCCTTAATAGCATACAGTTCTTTGTGTACATTTCAGTTTTTCTGGGCTCTACTTTGTCAAGTTGGCATGTTAATTTGTGTTATTATTATTCAGAGGACTGCCTATTCTATGTAAAGCTCCAGTCACCTTCTACCACATCTCTGAAATCGCATGTGTTTCCAAAAGTTAGAAATTAAAAGATACAAGTGGATGCCACTTCACTACTTCTAGGTGGAAATTACATAGTGTGCTGTAATTAAGTAGCCACATTAGTTGCCATAGAAAGGCGTAAGTGCATACCTTAATCTCAGTGGTGCATGCCTTTAATCCAAGCCCCAGAGAGGATTATAAAATGTGAGGAGACAGCTCTCAGACATGGTTTCATTCTGAGATTCATGGAGTCAGGATCACCATTTCAAACTGAGGTTGAGATAAAAGCCAGTGGCTGACTGTTTTGCTTCTCAGATCTTTAGATTGAACCCTAGTTTCTCTCTCTTGGGATTTTCTTAATCATGTTTCAAGGATGTGAAGCTTGAAAAGGGATTTGGCTCAGTGATAGTTTATTTGATAAAGCAGTATTGGATAAATATATGAAAATTTCAAAGAATAAACGAAATAATAATAAAAGGTCCCAAGTCAAATTTTTATTGACTGTACTTCAAAACTGTGATCCACATGGTGTGTCTGTATAGCTGATGTGATTTAAGGATGCATAAGTTTGAGTATCTAATGATGATCAGGTTCAGACTTCCCTGTGGCTATGTCCAACCTCTGTCAAAAATTCCATTATCATTTAGTATAAGCAGATATTTCTTGGGATCTCATGTTTCACAGGAACAATAATAAGAACTTAGCAATATAGTGACCTAAGACAAAATTTTAATTTGAGTTTATATATAAATTGAAATTTAAGTTTAAAATAATTTAATTAACTACAATAATTGAAATATTAACATTTTTCAATTACATTTACAATTATTAGAATAGTGTAGTATATATGTATTGAATTCTTACAAACTTACCATAAATCAGCATCCTTTCGAGTATAGCTTGACTTTATTATAAAAGAAGAATGTGAGTATCCTTGACTATATACTTGATAATAAAGTCCTTCCCATGGGAATATGAACAGGCCCCTTACCTTGCTTCATCTCTAATACTGTAATGTCCAGGAAGGGAGGAGTAAGCAAATGTATTTGACACACAGTAGAAACAATATGTACCTGAAAAAAAAAGAATTAGATTAGAACATAGAATATATGTGATTCTTTGTGAAACCAGAGTGGAAACAAGTAGGATATCACACGTATAGTTCTCTGATCCCAGACAGCCATTTGGTACAAGGCAAGAGGAGCTTTCAGTAAGACCCCATCCCAAATCCAGAATACAAGTCCAATTAATAACTGAAAGCAAATTAATAATGTTTTATGCAGTGGAGTCTCACTGCACATACAAACCACTCTTAAGAGAAGATGCAATGCCCAGCAGTAGGTTGTACACATACAAACATTAAATAGCATTTTTTAGAAATTCTTTGTCTCACACTTCTTTTCAAAATTTTTTATCCTTGTATGTCCTTTGCCTATATGTTTGGTTTACAGTTTTGTATGCGGTAAGGAGCCACTGATTTGTTTTCAGGCTTCACAGCGACAGAATAATTATACAGAAACTGTATTATTTAAGTCACTGATTGGCCCATTGTCTCTGTCTTCATACTGGCTAACTCTTACATCTGACTTTAACTCATGTCCGTTAATTTGTGCAGCACCATGAGATCATGGCCAACTTGCAGAGTTTCAGTGTGTCTGTCTCTGGCAGCAGCTCCATAGCTTCTCTGTAACTCATCCTCCTTTCTTCCAGCATCCAGTTTAGTTTTCCATGCCTAGCTCTGTCCTACCCTATCAGGTCAAGCGAGTTTCTTTATTAATCAATGCTATTCACAACATACAGAGTGAATCCCACATCAACTCCACCTTTCTGTTTAAATAAAAATGTTTTAGCTTTAACATAATAAATTACATATATCAAGTAAGAATTGCAGTTACAATATTCATATCTATTTTCTCTTTTATCATAACTAAGGAAAACAATGACTATAACTATTAATTCTTCAACTCCATCAAAGACTCCAAGAGGATATAATATTACCCAACAAGATGAACATTGTAAGCAACTTCATAAACTCTAGAATAGATAGAGAGCTCTTACTTCTTGTACACCCAAATTTCTTTTGTACCATTAAAGCATCCATATTCAGCCTACAGGCCCATAGTAACCAGCAGACTCTTCTACAAAACAGGAAATTTCAAATACATTTTTTCCTATATTGGCAGTTTATCAGTCACTTTCTTCTTTGTCCTGAAGAATGTCTAGCAAACTCTTTCATGAAACAGGAATGCTGAAGGAAGGTCTCACCTTTAAGTAATTTTAACAGTCATTTCTCTGTAGGTACTGCATTTCCAGTTCATCAAGCAGTCCACATGCAAGAGCCGATTCTTGCCCAAATGACTAGCAAACTCCACAAGGAGCCTCTTTGATGTCTGTCTTCCTCTTGAATTAATTGTTGCTGCCAAGAGTAATGCGAAAGTCCCCTCTGTTTGCTGTTATTACCATTAATGAGTAAAGAAACTGCCTTGGCCTGCTGATAGGAAAGAACTTAGGTAGGCAAGGAAAACTGGACTGAATGCTGGGAAAAGGAGAGAGAGAGAGAAAGACGTCCTGGAGCAGCAGCCAAAGTCCGACATGCTGAATCTTTGCTGGTAAGCCACTGCCACAAGGCAATATACAAATAAATAGAAATGGGTTAAATTAATATAAGAGTTAGCCAATAAGAAACTAGAGCTAATGGGTCAAGAAGTGTTTAAATTAATACAGGTTCTGTGTGGTTATTTTTGTTCTTGTTGACCAGGAGAAACAAGTGGCCTCTTCCCTGCAACACAGGAGCAAATGAGTCTCATTGTCATGAAAAGCCCTACCTTCTTTCAACATTTAAATTCCATATTCTACATTCTTTGAAATTGTCTAACTGAAATACATCTCTATTTATCTAGAAAACCTGACTAACATGACTACAAATTTGACTATTACAATTATTGTCTATAACCTGAATTTCATAATTATATTTTATATTTTAAATGAGCTGCACAAGCATAACACCTTAATAAAGAGCAGAAATATATTTATACACAGTATAACAAAATTGACCTTAAATTTATATCAATAAGCCAAAACATACCAATGCAAATCTCTATAGCATATCTCCCTTTAAATGTATAAACAATATCTGGGAATATAGCATAGTTCTCTTCATACTGTTTCCTGCTTTTTGTTGGGTGAAGTATTTTTTGGAGGTGTTCACGGTGACCTTTCAGAGGATCTTGTTACATCAAACCATATTAGTATGGAAAATTTCCACATCTTCTCATTCTTTGTTGAAACAAAAGAAGAAACTATTTTTTCAAAAACATATCCTTAGACTCAAATTCTGAAGTTAAGATATCATTAAAGTATATATGTTGATTACTTAAATCCTTTACAGTAAAAAAAATTCAAAGAAAACTGAATAATATGCATAGTCCTGACTCTCTGTGTATAGTCCATCTATACATGGATTATTTATTCTTACTGTATAGCTTTTTAATATTTATTTATTATTATTCCTTTAATCTCTGACTGTCTGTACTCTGTCTATTTAAAGATTTCTTTTGCTTTTTTGAACCCATTTATTTTTATAACTCTCTATAATCTTTTTCTTCTTTCTTCATGTTTACGTAAATTAATTTCTCCAACAATGTGACCCATTAGAGGTCTTTTTTTTCTAAATATATCTTTACTGTGTACCTATAATTATTTTCTGACCAGAAGTGCTTATTAAAATGCTAACCCCTTCTTATGAACTTAAGTGGTGACATTGCTAGGGGAAACACAGCACTGCCTATTTGCCCCACCCAGTCCAACATGGTGGAAGAGGTCTGTTCACTGCCTCTGATCTGTGCACACCACCACAGTTCCAAATATGCTACAAGTCTATGTCACAGCATTAAGCAGGTTGTAGCATTCTGCTCACAAATCCCATTTAAATGTTTCATAGCCTGACCTCTTCAGAGTTCATATGAAGCACGGCCCAGAAACCTACCATTTCGAAACAGAGCAGCTTTTCATCTGCTATTGCTGAATCAGGAAAACCTCTCTCAAAGGGTCTGCAGCACTCAGCTAGCAAAATGCTAGCTACCAAGAAGCCATGCTTAACTCTGTTCCTTGGTGTCTAAAATTACTTTTTAAGCTTTCCCAGGTATAACAATGATACAGTCAAACAAGTTGGCATACCAATTTGTGGTAAGGTTCCAACTGTTTGTTTCTCGGCTGCCCAGCCCAGAATAATCACACAGAAACTATATTATTTAAATCACTGTATGACCTATTAGCTCTAGCTTCTTATTGGCTAACTCATACATCCGAATTTAACCCATGTCCATTAATATATGCATTGTCACATGGTCATGGCTTACCAGAAAAGTTTCAGTGTGTCTATCTCTGGTAGGATATCCATGACTTCTCTCTAACTCAGCCTCCTTTCTCCCAGCATCCAGTTCAGTTTTCCCCACCTAGCTCTGTTGTACCCTATCAAGTCAAGCCAATTTCTTTATTAATCAATGGTATTCACAGCATGCAAATGGGAATCCTACATCAATTGTGTTTTTATGACATTATGCTTGCATGAACATTTGTGTCTTTGCATCTATGTGCTTTTTCTGCTTCCCTTTGGCATTTTTTCTTATATTTGTTTCTATTGTACTTAATGATGTTCTTATTCTTTATTATTATGATATTACTATTATTGCTATTTTACTATTGTTACCATAACTACTATTATTACATTTTTGTGTATATTCCAATGAAAGAAAGAGGGAAGGAAGGAATGGAGAAAGAAAGAAAGAACAAAAGAGAGTAGCTTTAGGCGGGTGGGTGTGTGGGGAATATCTTAAAGGAGTTGGAGGTCAGGAAACCATAGTCATTATATATTGTATAGAATAAAAACTATCTTCAATGAAAATACCATATGTAAATAAGACATAGTGTCAGCAAATGCTTCAGCTATGAGCTCTCAGAGTTTCAGGTTGCCATATGTAACTAAAGAAAATTATTCACACAGTAGGTCCATGCAGGTAGTATAAGGAGCAGCAGGTCTCCTGTCTTGGTTAGATACTGAAGGCAGAGATTAATCCCATTCATTGCAGATAAAGCCAAAATCCAAAGCTAAATGAGAAGATGTATGTTAAAGTGGACGCTGCAGGTTAGGAAGTGGGAATGTATTTCCTGCACCAGAAAAAAAGAACAGGTGACTCTGTCAGGATGTACTTGCCTATGCTGGATTTCAAAAGGCTCTGTCTCCTAACAGGTTTAAGGAGCAATCCTCCTTCATTGACCAGTAGAGTATAGTCAGGTCCTGGCTAGAACCAGGAACCAGCTGAGAGCTGGACTCCAGCCAGGAGCCTGACTGACAAAACCCCTCTGTGAAGGGACTGATATTATCTCCGTTTGCCTCGGATTGGCTAAGTGTGTGATATCATCTAGAGAATGGATTTGGGCCAATCACAAGACGAATCTCAAAGCTACCAATGGAAATCAAGGGCCTGCTGTAACTATGGAGATTTCATCTGAGCTGCTGTTTCATGTATCTCTCCCCCTCCCTGTTGTTACCACAGAAACAGGGAAACTGAAACTAGAAAGACAGATAAAATGTGATTTAACATGAAATTTGGTCCAATTGATAACAGAGGAAAATAATCAGAAGTACTTGGAGTGTGAGCATGTACCTGACTCCTTGGGAATAGATACTAGATTTCTATTTTTTTTAAAAAAAAAACTGGATTTCTGCATTACCTTTTCTGAAAGTGACTCTGGGCAGCTGCGTGCAGCATTTTGCTGAATATTTGCTATCTGGCTATGTTGATTTTCATAACTGCTATGAATGTACACATGAGCCATCACATGGAATTAGAACTATTAGTGTAACCTACAAAATGATGATTAGATTAAGGGAAGAAATGGTGAGTTCTACCCCTGGTGAAGCAATGCGCCCTATGAGCATGGAAGGTCTTGAAGCATCATAATGGTCAAGAAATAATTTAACAAGTCTTATGAAAAAAAAATCTTTCAAAATAACTCTTCATATATGTGTGTGTATATGTGAGTGTGTGTGTCTAGGTGTTTGTGTGTTCAC